GCCAGTTAGGCTTAGTGGGTAAAAAGCCTGACCCTGGACCTGGCAGAGGATGACCTCTGACTCCAACACTGGCACAGACTCAAACACTTAATTTCTTGGAACCTGGCCCCAAACTGTTTCCTGGCCCTTATAATGGCTCAGCCCTCCCAAACCCCCGGCCACAAAGGAAACTCAAAACTGTAGCGTCTGTCCATGTTTCCCTCCACTGGCCCAGCAAGCATTGATACAGCATCTGCTGTGTGCTGGGATAAGGTCCGGCATGGTCCCTGTGTGGGCAATGCTGCAGAGTGGCGAGGTGCCCCCAGCCCTGGGAGCCCTAACACGCTCTGCACAGGAGTCAGGAAAGGCTTCCCAGAGGAGGGGGCCCAGAGGAAGTGGGACCTGATGTGTAGGAGATTGCCGATGAAGAAGAGGGATCTTAAAGCAACAAGAACCACTAGTACTTTCGGTGGGCAAGTTTCAGATCAAAGTGCCCTTGTGTTCGGGCCTGGAATGAGCAGACATGGCCTGGGACAGTGACAATAGCTATGGGCCTTGGGGTCAGGAGCTGTGGGTCCCACTCAGCCTTCTGCTGTCCACTCCAGCAGGCAACCGAAACCTCTCCTGGATGCAAAGCCTTGCCCTGCATGCTCTGGTGACAGTGTGGGGAGTCTGGGCTTGCAGCTGACCGTGGAAGATTGTAGCGCTCCCTGGGGTGCAGAGAGGGAATCTAGGTACTTCTTGAAGGTTTCAGGGCTGAGAGAGTAGCATTCTGGGCTGGGGGAGGGGAGGGAGAGCAGGAATAGGCCCCCCAGGCTGGTGGGAGGCAGGAAGTGAGGGGAAGGGAAGTCTCCCTAGAGCCTGTGGTGGCTGCTCCCAGCCCCTGCATGCTCCTTGGAGGTATGACATCTGTGGTCGCAGCGGGTGGGAGTGGAGGTGAATCGCGCAGCCACCCACCCCACATACCCCTGTGGAAAGGGGGCACTGAGCCTAGTGGGGTGGGGGCGATGGCTCTGTGGTATCAGGCCACTCCCATGTGTGTATGTCATCAAGGCCTGGTGCGTGTCACCAAGGTTGGGTTATGTGACTGGAATGTGAGGGGCTGGAGGGTTGGGGGGTGGAAAACATTGCTAGGCAGGATCTGGCTACCCTTGGTCCTCTGTGGGTGTACAGGACTCCTTGGGCGGGGGTTTCCCTAGAAAGCCAACCATAGGAGCCCCAAGCATGTTCAGGGACCTGCCTCCCTGCCCCCTCTGTTCTCCCTCTCCTTCTCCTATCTCCCCACCCCACTACCCCCAACCCCACCCCTGCCAGCCAAGCTGAGAAGTGGGGCAGGAGCTGAGCCTGGAGCTCCCACTGCTGCCTTGAGGTGGTGGGGTGCCTGGAAGCCATTAGGGGCCTGGGTGTACCCCCACCCACCCAAGAGACGGGATTCCTAGAAGAAGCTGGCGGCATTGTTTCCCCACCCCACCCCACCCCTTTCTGGGGAGCTTCTTGTCAGGCTGGGCAGCTCCCAGGGGCAGGGAGCATGTGGCCAGAGCCTCCTCCTTGCTATCCACTCAACAAGCCCGCCCGGCCCAGGACCCCATCTCTCCCTCCCCTCCCTCCCCTCCCCTGTCCCAGCCCAGCTCTGAAGGAGGGGCATTCGGGCTTCCTCCTCCCCCTGTAAGCTTTCAAAATGTTTTCCTTTTCTAAAAGCTTCCCCTGTGGAGCCGGGCCAGGAAATGGGGGAGAGCAGGCGTGTGTGTGCATGTTGGTGTGCGGACATGAGTGTGTGTATCTGGTATATCTTTACATGTCACTGTAGTGGCCTGTGCATGTGGCCAGGGGTCTCTGAGACTCTGTGTCTGCAAGTGAGGCTGTGCATCGCTCTGTGTGTGTGTGTGTGTGTGTACGTGTACTCTCCCACTTGCTGCAGGCTCCGGTCTGCATGTGGCCAGGGGTCTCTGAGACCCTGTGTCTGCAAGTGAGGCTGTGCATCGCTGTGTGTGTGTGTGTGTGTGTGTACTCTCCCACTTGCTGCAGGCTCCGGTCTGCCCCAGTTGGAATCTGTGTTTACATAAGGGCTGGCGTGTCTGCCGACCCTGCAGCCTGTGCACACATGTCCAGAATGCACATGGACGTCAAGGCCAGTCACCGAGTTGCTCAAACCGAGAGACTGGGTCACAGGGATCCGTGGCTGTGGGGGTGGAGCTGAGGCATGTGCTACGGTGGCTTCTTGTGGACATAGAGTGTCTGTGCTGGCCATACTGGGGTGAGACATCCCTCCAAAATGAAAAATGCAAATTCCCAGCCTGCATTTCCTGGACAGGAGAGGGAGGGTCCAGGAATCTGCATTGTAAGCAAGAGCCCAGGTGAATCAGCAGGATCCTCCCAGTACCGGGGCACTGGTCTGCCCCATCCAAGCCCCCAACAGGGTATAAACCGGACAGAGGCTGTTTGGGAGGGTCGGTGGGGGCAGAAGTTCCACGGGGCTATATTTCAGGGAGATGGAGGGTGTTGGGGGGTAGGTCTTATCTGTTGGGTGCCCGGAGGAAGCTGGGTTTAGAAGCCAGCTGGAAGTCTAAATTCAGGGGCCACTCCTGAGGGTACACACTTTACAAGGAGGGTCCTTATCTCCTTTCAGCCTCTGTTGGCTGGTTATTGCTTAGAGATCTCCAAGTGTCTCTACCCTGGATCTAAAAGGTTCCCCGCGCGCAAGGACCCTGGGCCCAAAGAACAAACTCTATTCTGGGCTCTCCTTTCTGGTGGGGACTATGTCCCCGCCCATCCACCCACTCACTGTCTCTCTCCTTTTGTTTCTTGTAAGATAGCAAAAGTGACTGTTGAGTTGATTCAAATTCACAGTGGCCCCTGGTGGTGTAGTGGTTACTAACCTCAATGCCTGCAGTTTGAAGCCGCCAGCTGCTCCTCTGGAGAAAGACTAGGTTTCTAGTCCCATAAAGAGTTACCATCTCAGAAACCCATAGGAGCAGCTCTAGTCTGCCCTATAGATTCACCATGAGTCAGAATCCGCTCCTTTCTATCTGAGTAGGGCTGAGAGGCTGAAGGGTATTGATTGATTCATCACATCCAGGCATTTCATGGGGGATCTGATCTGCCCAGGCCCGAGAGGCATGGCCCCGAAAAGCCGCCACTTATTTGGGGGGAGCAAGCTCAATCCATGGCAGAGAGCTTCCCTCTGTACTGGGGCATGACATGAGGTTGGCTGAGATTGGAAGGATGAGGCCTGAAGTGGAATGGAAAGCAGGAGTGTGGGCCAGTAGAGGGAGTGTCAGCCAGGCAGTGCAGAGTGGAGTGTTTCCCCAGGAGCAAGACTGCCCCAGACAGAGAGGGAGGGAGATGAGCTGGCTGTTCATGTCCCTGTGGGCTAGGGACTCAGGGGATCAGGGAAGGAAGGGCTGGGTGTCCTGAGGCACTGGTGGACCTCAGCCCAAGGCCGCAGCACAGGACAGGACTGCCCAGAATAGACAGAGAGAGTGGTGCAGGTTGGAGGCAGCGAGGAGCATCGGTCTCATCTATTTTAAATAGGGTGTGGCATGGATGGCCGAACCCAGCAGTGGGCATGTGGGCTGCTGACCCAGGAGACTGAAGAGAGATGTTTGCTGTGGTGAGGGGGCTAGTGAGGGAGGCTCTGACAGGGAGGGAGGCGGGGTCCACCTCTGATGGCTAACAGACAGGTTTATCTCCAGGCCCTGTCACCAAGATATGGTGACAAATTCTCACCAGTGTGGGGACATGGACTCGGATGTGGGCCAGCTAAGGACCCTCCTTGTAAAGTGTGTACCCTCAGGAGTGGCCCCTGAATTCAGACTTCCAGCTGGCTTCTAAACCCAGCTTCCTCCAGGCACCCAACAGATAAGACCTACCCCCCAACACCCTCCATCTCCCTGAAATATAGCCCCGTGGAACTTCTGCCCCCACCGACCCTCCCAAACAGCCTCTGTCCGGTTTATACCCTGTTGGGGGCTTGGATGGGGCAGACCAGTGCCCCGGTACTGGGAGGATCCTGCTGATTCACCTGGGCTCTTGCTTACAATGCAGATTCCTGGACCCTCCCTCTCCTGTCCAGGAAATGCAGGCTGGGAATTTGCATTTTTCATTTTGGAGGGATGTCTCACCCCAGTATGGCCAGCACAGACACTCTATGTCCACAAGAAGCCACCTGACGTAGAAGTGAACCCCACTGAGCGTTCACTTCTGCGTCAGGACATGGTGGTAAGATAAGGTGACCAGACGTCCCACTTTTGGCGGGACAGTCCTGATTTTTAACAATTTGTCCCACGTCCCGCGGCGTTTTTAAAAAGTCCTGATTTTTGGAAAGAATGCACGACAAGCTAGGGTATACGGCTTTTGGCTGCCATGTGGCTATTTCACCAGGATATGAGTTTTATCAATGGTGTCCCGCTTTACCAATGTTAAAATCTGGTCACCTTTTGATAAGAGCCTCCCTCGAGTCTGTTGAAGGAATCAATGTTCACATTAGAGAGAATTCACATCAAGGCCTACGTGTTGTGACTGGTCTGTGGTCAGCCCTGCACACCAGTCATTCCCATCCTCGTCATCATCAGCTGGTCAGGACCAGCCCTGCCCTCACCACGCTCACAGCCTGGGGTGGAGGTGGGAGCTAATGGCCACCAGCAAGTGGCGCAGGGAGCTTAGTGCCCAAGGGAGACATGGGCAGGAGTTGGCAGGCCTGGCCTGGGGTGGTCCACAAGGACTTCTACGAGGAGGTGATAGCTCAGGGTGATGTGGTCCACCGCAAGGGGCACTCCTGGCAGCAGGCTGGTGGAAGCAGGAAACGGGTGGAAGCAAGGTGGGCGATCAATGAGGGAGATGACCATCACCCCAGGTTTAGACAGCCCCTGTGGAGGAGCGCACCGGAGGCCAGTGGGTGGCAGTGCCCGCCCTCTGCTCATATTGTGCCCTCTGCCCGCCCTGCCCTTTGCATGGCACAGGTGAAAACTGGTGGTGTTCTCCCGTAGGTCCCAGAAGACGGCTCCCCACCCGCTGGCCCAGAGAGCAGTGGGTCGCAGTGTCCATCATGTGCAGTGGCATGCCATCCCCGACACGCCCCTGGCACCTCCCCTGAGATCTGCCGCCAGTCCAAACCCCAGCTTCACGACCCGTGCACTCAGAGGCACCATGAGCCACGGCCCGAGCCCCCGGCTGGCTGAGTCCCCTCAGCTGTCCAAGGGCAGCCTCCTGACCATCCTGGGCAGCCCATCGCCCGAGCGCATGGGGCCGGCCGATTCGCTGCCGCCCACGCCGCCCAGTGGCACGCCATCGCCCGGCCCGCCGCCCACACTGCTCCTGCCCACGGCACCCGCGGCGCTGCTGGCCGACGGGGACTGGGAAAGCCGCGAGGAGCTGCGGCTGCGGGAACTGGAGGAGGCACGGGCGCGGGCGGCGCAGATGGAGAAGACCATGCGCTGGTGGTCGGACTGCACAGCCAACTGGCGCGAGAAGTGGAGCAAGGTGCGCGCCGAGCGCAACCGCGCGCGCGAGGAGGTGCGCCAGCTGCGCCAGCGCCTGGACGCCCTCACCAAGGAGCTGGCCGGCGCGCGGCGTGAGCGCCAAGAGGCCCAGGGCGAGTGCGAGGCCCGGGGCCGGGAGCTGGCGCGGCTGCGGGGCACCCAGGGAGCCACTGACCGGACGCCGCCTGAAGGTCCCGAACTGGAGCCGGAGCCAGAGCCGGTGCGAGATATCGGGTCGGAGAGGACCCAGGGCAGCCAGGTGCTGGGGGAGGCAGGGCGTGCTGGGCAAGGGGCCCTCAGTTGCTGGCCAGGAGGGGGCAGCGCCTCCGGTCTAGGGCGGGGCTACTGGGCAAAGCCTTTATGCATGTACCTGAAAGCAGGCAGGACTTGCCAGTAAGGCCTGGCCACCTGGGAGGTTCCACTCTTCTGAGTCCAACCCTGCCCTGCAGGGCTGCAGGTCACCTCCCTTCGTAGTCCTGCACCTAAAGAAATGTGTCGAACCAGGGGGGGTCTCATTCCCATGGAGCGGGAGAAGGCACAGCACCTGCCCCCCTTCGGCCTTGCGTGAATACCACAGCTGAATCCACTCAGCCCTTCCACTTGAATTTGGTTATGGGGCAGTAGGAACACCAAGGTGGTCCCTGCCCCAAGCTCTGGAGACGGGGCTTCACAGCAGCCTTTCCAGATGGGGCCACATTTAAGCTAAGGCTAGAAGGATGCGTACAGTTAGCCGTGGGACATGCAAGAGGTCATTCCAGGTGGTGGGGACTGCCGTGCAAAGGCCTGGAGGCCACCAGCCCTGCTGAGCTGGACAGTGACCAGTGTGACGGCTTGCGGTATTCTCGAGATGCGGAAACACTAGAGGGAGTGGGCATTCCCTTAACTCCTCGGTACAGTGACCCGGTGAGCTCTCTGAATGAGGACGTGGGCACCAGGGACACCCAGCTGGTGAGACTGAGCTGCCTCTGAACCCAGGCAGTCTGGCAGGTGGGAGCATGCAGCTGAGAACACAGCCTGACCCCCGAAAGCTGTCTAGGGGCAGAGCTTAAGTTCAGGTCCCTCCCCCAACTATGCCCCTAGCTCCCCCAGCTAGGACTGCCCAGCCCCTTCTGCCCTGTAGACCGGAGCGGACACTGCTGCTTCTTGGAGGCCAAGGCCTCTTCCCTCCACCTCCTGGTCTGCCTCTGTACTGGGAGATGGCATTCAGTACTATCATTTGGGGCAGATGATAAGAGGCCTGCCAGCCCACCTCATGGAAATGTCTTGTCCCATCTCTGTTCCGGGAGGTGGTGTGGGCAGCGGTGAGGGCCCTAGGCTCGCTGTCTGGGTTTGCATTCTGTGACTGGAGCTAGCCAATCCCCCACCCCCCAATGTCCCCATGTGTAAGGCTTGAAGACTTGGCACCCCCACCCAATCAGCCAGAGATGCAGGAGATGAATCTCACCCCCACGGAGCCCTCAGAGCCACTGTCTAGTCCAGAGAAAAAAAACAAGAACCAGCCAGGGAAACGGCTGGCCCAAACTCAGCTGGAAAAGCCAAGGGGGAAGCCAGGCTACATCGGAGGCCGGGGCCCAGCCGGGTGTGTGGTCAGAAGCAGGCCGTGGGGAAGGCCGGCGGGGGCTCAGCAGCTGGTGCCTGCTCCCTCCTTCCCTGGCAGAGCTGCCTCCTGTGTGTGCCTGCCTTGCTGCCGCTTGCCCTGCGCCTTAGTGTCCGTGCCCAAAAAGTGGGCTCCGCGAGCCGGGGTTCCCTTTGAAGGAATCAGGCCCGATCCCGGGTTCCAACATAGGAGCAATTGCGAGGCTGGCACAGCCGGGGGGTGGTTGGTTCTGCTGCACACAGGGTCGTCTTGAGTCAGAGCTGACGTGAAAACATCCAGAGGCCCTCTCCACTGTAGGACTCCCTGCTCTGACATCGTTCCCACCAGGTCATGCCCACCATCTGTTTGCATACTGCCGGTGGCGGGCACCTCACCACCCCTCAGGGGGAATCTTGGAGAATTCAGGGAACTCTGAGGGCAGCAGACAAAGTTCATCCCCCCTCCCCACTCCCCCTGCCCGTTCTGGTGAGTGCACCCGGCTTGTGTCTCACACAGTGGTGGGATTCAATCTTACCCCATGGTCACATACTCAGGGAGCCCACCCACCTGACTCTCCTCCCTGTTCAGGTCTCTCTCGGGATGCTTAGCCCTTGGGGAGGTCACCCAGCAAGCTAAGCCAGGGCTGGGAGGGAGTGTCATGAGGAAGGCCGCTGGGTGCTGGTGGCCTCTGCTCCAGCCTCCACCTTGGTCCCCACAGGAGCTGGAGCTGGAGCTGGTGGAGAGCCTGCTGAAGAGCCGACCGGAGGAGCCCGAGGGCTGCTGGGAGGCCCGCAGCGTGAGGGCCGGGGGCTTCCGGGGGGGCAGCTCCGGCCGCCAGGAGCGCAGCTGGCTGCCCTGGGAGGATGCAGCTGCCACCGAGGAGGACAGCTCTAAGTTAACCGCCCTGCGGCTGCGTCTGGACGAGTCCCAGAAGGTGCTGCTCAAGGAGCGAGAGTGAGTCTCAGAAGGGTGAGGGGAAGGGGGCGCCCTCCACTTCCCAACGCCGAGAGCCACTCGGTAAAGGGGTGCATTTAAGCTCCAGGCGTTGGCTTGGGACCAGGCACAGGCCTCTGAGGACACAGCCGGGCTGCGATGGAAATCCACTCCTTGCATTGACTTGAGCTAGCTGGGGAGAGTGGCACTCGGTGCTGGGGGCACAGGTTCATGCAGGGTCAGCAGGATGGGGAGGGTCTCAGTGCTGCCAGCCCAGATGCCACACCTGGGCACTCAACCCACAGAAATGTGTTTTCTTGAGGCTCGAGAGGCAAGAAGACCGTTCTCTGTTGGCACGAGCAGAAAATTCCATGCAGGCCTCTTCCCCGTCCCTCATAGAGTTCCCCGTGGTGTCTGCCTTTTCCCCATCTGTGTCTCATCTCCTTTCCTTCTACCTCAAAGCTGACTGTTTGCAGTCCCGCCCTACCCTGATATAGAACACAGTAAAGGCACCCCTATGCCCAGGTGGGGTGGCAGTACCAGGTGTTCAGCCCTGCAACACATATTTGGGGGGGGATACAGTTCCCCCATAACAGGGCTATCCTGCAGCTGCTCTGGGTGTTGGATTTGGAGGTGGTGGATTTGAGATGTGAGTGGGTTCAGGAGAGACTCTGGGCCAGAGGTCAAAACTCCAGAGCCAGACAGCAAAGCGATAGTTCTGAGAGGCCTGGGCCCGGCTGAGACCAGAGAAGTGAGTGTGACCAGACAGGGAAGAGGCCGGAGGAGCCACCCTGGGGTCCACCGTGGTTTAGAGGGCGTAGAGAGGAAGAAGACGCGGCAAAGGAGCTGAGATATCACCCATGAGGGGAAGGGAAGCCAGGAGAGCCGTCCTGCAGGCTGACTGACACCACACGGATGGAGCGGTGGTCGGCTGAGTCCCAACAGCACAAGGCTAAACGCGGACTATTGGACCTAGAGTGTGGAGGTCACCAGTGAGCAGGGCCCAGGCCTGTTGGCAGTGAATGTTTGCTAACACTCCCCTCCTGTTCAGAAAGTAAATGCATGGGTGGTGCAACTTGCTCATGGTCCTGTAACAAACTTGCTCATGGTCGTGTAACTTGCTCATGGAAGCAGCAGTCAAGAGATCAAACGGCATTGCCCTGGGTAAATCTGTTGCACCAGACCTCTTCAAAGTGCTGAAAAGCAAGGATGTGACTTTCAGGACTAAGGGACACCTGGCCCCAGCCCTGGTAGTTTCAGCGGCTTCATCTGCACGTGAAAGTTGGGCATTGGATAAGGAAGACCAAAGACTCTATGTATTTGAATTGTGCTGCTGGAGAAGAATATTGAAAGTACCACAGACTGCCAAAATAACCAACAGGTCTATCTCGGAAGAAGTACGGCCAGAATGCTCCTGAGAGGCCAGGATGGCCAAACATGGTCTCACGTACTTCGAACATGTGGGAGAGGCCCGTCCCTGGAGAAGGACTTCATGCTTGGTAACACAGCCAGGCAGTGACAAAGAGGAAGGCCCTGATGGACGGACGGACGGACACAGTGGCTGCAACACTGTGTTCCAACAGGAGAGCCATGGTGAGGATGGCGTGGGACTTGGCAGAGTTTCGTGCTGCTGTGCCCGGGGTCATCGCTGGAGTTGGAACAGACTTGATGGCACGCAACGGCAACGTAACTTAGCTGCCCACATAGGTTTTTCAAAACCAAGCATTGGGCCCCAACTGGAATGAGAGTGTGTTGGTTTTCCGGGGGCTGCTGCAACCAAGGTTGTTGGGGGGTGTGGCTAAGCGACAGAAATGTATTGTCTCACATGTATGGGGCTACAGGTCCAAGAACCAAGGATCAGCCGGGCCTCTCTCGTTCTCTCCCCCTTCTCTCACTTGCTTTCCCCATTGCCATCTGGCTCTAGGGCTTACTCTCTCTTATGCTATCTCTTTCTTGTATTCTCTCTCTCATGCGCCCCCTCTTCCTCCACCTCCCTCCTTCCCCCTCTCTGCCTCTCTCTGCCCCTCTCCTTCCCTCTCTCAGAGGATGAGCCTCTGTCCTACTCCCCCTCCCTGGGCCCTGGGGCTCCTGCCAGCCCTTGGAGTGCAGACCTTGCAGCCGGCACTCGCTCCGCCCCTCGCGTAGTCATACATGGTGGCCCTGCCTCTGTCTCCTTCTGTGCCTCTGCTCCCCCTTTCACAAGGACACCCGTCCTGTTGGACAGGGGCCCACGCCACTCCAATATGACCTCGGCTTACTTCAACCAAGCACAACTCCCACAGTCCTGCTTCCAGACAAGGTCCCACACAGGGCACCTCTGGGGGTCAGGATCCCACGCCTCTCAGGGATCCAGGCCTACCCTGATGCAGAAGTGGCCGTCGCAATACACAGGTGCTGGGCTGAGGGCTTAACAGCTAGAGGGCAGCACTCAAGTGGTGTCTGTGGGCAGCGAGATCTCCCCAGAGGGAGACAGCCTTTGGTGGCATGCTAAGCAGGGTGAAGTGCTGTCTCCCTTCCCTGCATGTTCCACCCCCACCCCCTCCCCTCATACCGGCTTGCTTTCTATGCACACAGCACACCGGATGTGGGGACCTTTCCACATGGATAGGCTGTCCTGGGCACTGCGGGGCCTTGCCACCTCCCGCCTCACCAAATGATCCCCTGTGACCTCCTCACAGTGACCCCCTGTTGTGATGTCCAAAAGTCAACCTCCAGGTTTCCGGCAGACGTCCCAGAGGGTGACACTGGCCCTCCAAGGGCCCTGTGGAGTGCTAGCCCCACAGGCAGACATGTGGAGTGCGTTGTAATGATAAGCACAGCCCGGCCAGTGGCTGCCCACCCAGAGAGGGCCGGGCAGGGCCAGGCGCTGATCCCCTTGCAGGTGGGGGACCCACCATGTTCATCCTCCAGGCAAGCTGCAGGCTGGAAGAGGGGCCTGTGCTACCAAAGCCACAGGGCAGGGTTTCCCAAGCCTTTAGCTATAGTGCTATGCACTCAAGCCAAGCCTTACAGGGACCCCAGGACATAAAGCAGATCAGAATGGGGCCCCACTTTATAGGGGAGGCTGGGGCCCAGGTGTGGGGGCACTGGCACCTCCAACAGAAATGAGGGCCAAGGCACTGTCACAGGGGTGGCATGCCAGGACTCAGCAAGGCAGGGGTGCCCTGAGGGTGCACTCTGAGAGGTGGGCTCACCCCCAGGCCTGTCCTTCTCCCGCCCCTCCCCCAGGGATAAACTGGCACTGAGCAGGAACATAGAGAAGCTGGAGGGGGAGCTCAGCCAGTGGAAGATCAAGTACGAGGAGCTGAGCAAGACCAAGCAGGAGATGCTCAAGCAGGTGCGTCCGTTGAGTGCCCGCAGGGCAGCTAGGCACCCTTGCATTGCTGCAGTCAGGCTGAGGGAGGGGGTTCACTCATTCATTCCCTTGCTCACTCATTCACTCACTTATTCACTAATTCATTCAGTCAGTCGGTCATTCACTCGCTCAGTCATTCACTCACTTATTCATTTACTCACTCACTCATTCACTTAGCAACTGTTGGTCACTGTTCTGAGCACTGGGGCAGGAGAACCCGGCCTTTGGGGACTGTGGGAGACAGTGGCCAGGTAGTGTGTACATGCACCACCAAGATGGCAAAGCGAATGTGAGGGATGGGCTGGTGGTGAGTAGCATCAGCTGGGAGAAGGTGGCATTTGAGACGAGACCTAAGGGAGCTGACCGTGAGAGGATCTGAGGGCCCAGCAAGTGCAAAGGTGCTGGGGTAGGAACGAACCTAGAGTGTGCGGTGCACAGGGACAGCCTGAGATGAGGTTGCATGGGACCTAATGGGCCAGAGTAAGGGAGAGGACTCAGGTCTTAGGGGTCACTGAGCACCGAGTGAGTGTCAGATCTCACTGACGGCTCACGGCAGTCAGGCCAGCTGAGTGCTAACATCCCATCTGTGGATGCAGAAACCCCACAGAAACCGAGGCCCCAGCTGGCAGGAATGGATTCCACCACGCAGACAGTGAAAGAGGAACAGGGGTCTGGCCGATGCACCTGCTCCTGTGCAGGCCTGGTGGCCACGAGGGGGCGCAGCCGTCCTGGGAAAGCCAGTGTGGGCGGACTTTCTGGAAGGTGGGAAGTCCTGGGGTCTCAGCACCTACTCTGCCCTGCAGGGGACTTAGATGTCCCAGACCTGGGCTTCCATCCGAACCTCATAGGAAGTCGCCTAAAATGACAGGTCCCCAGGCTCACCCTAACCACCTTGGATGCCCATCCCTGGGAATTAGTCCAAGTCGGAAAAGTTGGTTCTTGCAGAAACCAACATTCACGAAGCCTGACTATGAATGTCATTTGGCAGAGGTGTATAAAGCTTCTCTTTGAGCTGGCTCCTTTTCCCTCTCCACGGGGGTCTCAGGCTCGCCCGGTGGGGGTTGGGGGTGAGCCATGGTCAGAAAATCCACCCTGTTTTAGAAGCACCCCGGGCATTCCGATGCCGCCCGCCTGGTACCCTCAGGCAGACAGCTGTCTGGGTGCAGGGGGGTCATTTCATCAGAACAGACGGAGGTTCCCCTGGGCCAGGGGACACGGGGCTGCTCACTGCAAGGCCTCTCCAGAGGCAGGCCTAAACCCCTCAGCCGGGGAGGGGGAGTGCGACGTGGCCCAGGGGGCCACCAGGAGTTGAAGTCAGCCTGACAGCACCTAGCAACAGCCTCAGAGGCCATGTGGGGGTTGAGAGGGGGATACACAGGCCCAGGTCTCTGCCCTCCAGACCCACCCTCTAGTGGGGGCCAGATGGAGGAGGTGGAGCTCCTCCCCCTCCCCGAGGTGGGGTGGACAAGAGAGGCGTGCGAATGAGAGCAGCCCGTGGTCCAAGCAGAGGGAACCACACCTACAAAGGACCCCCGCTGCCAGTGGTGGGCAGGCACCGGGGATGGCTGTGCCTGGAACAGGGGGGCTCAGGAGTAGGGGTGGGAGATCAGGCTGAGGAGAGGTGGGCAGGGGCCAGGTAGTGAAGGACTTTGTAACACAGGGACGGATTGGACTTTATCCTGAGGGCCCCCAGAGCCATCTCAGGGGTTCGTCGGGCGTGGGAATGCCACCGAGTTTCTCCTTTTGAAGCCCACGCGGGGCAACAGCTGTGGAAAATGGGTTGTGGGGCAGGCGATGGTAATGAGACAGGAGGTGAGAGGTGTTCCAGGGGAGGAGGCAGAGTGGTCGGATTAATGGTGAGTTCTGGGCACCCCCGAAGCTCCACACCCCTCCGGAGGCCTCCTGGGAGCCTCACATAACCAGCCTGGCCCTCCCCCTTGCAGCTCAGCCTCCTGAAGGAGACGCACCAGGATGAGCTGGGCCGGATATCTGAAGACCTGGAGGATGAGCTGGGAGCACGGACCAGCATGGACAGGAAGATGGCTGAGCTGAGGGGTGAGGTGAGGCTGCTGCAGACCTGGGAGGACCCGGGAGGGGAGGTCTGCCTCCACCAGCCAGCCACAGTCCCGGGAGATTCCCTAGCTGGCGGGGGTAGGAGGGGGGCAGCCTGGGCACACCGGCTAGCACCACCACATGCCCCGCACTGTGTGCAGCAAGCCCTGGTTAATTATAGCTGCTGCAGAAGGACCTGCTTCCTGGAGCCAAAAACGGCTGGG